GTGTCATAGTGACAGAGCAGTAACACAGGTGTGTGTAGGTGTGTGTAGGTGTGTGTCATAGTGACAGAGCAGTAACACAGGTGTGTGTAGGTGTGCGTACCTCTCTGGGTGTGCATCGGACACCAGTCCTCGGCTGGTCTTGGACAGCTGGTGGACGGTCTCGGCGTAGTCCTCCACCGCCTGCTCCACAATCTGATGCTTCTTCAACATAGTGACGGCGCTCTGCTCGTCCTGAAACACACAAATAACCGATGACGTCACAGCTGACTATTGTTTTCGTAGGTGTCGAGTATGATCCAACGCCATGGCCCCGCCCCCACCTTAGCCTTCTCCTCTGACATCATGTACAGCTCCTGCTCGCTCATCCACGCCTCTGCCTCGGCAGCGTCGAAGTAGTACTGCTGAGCCTTGTGGGCCTCCTCCAGCCGGCCGTGTCGGCACTCCGCCTCCTCCATATGCTGCCGCCACAGCTCCTGCAGCTCGGCCAGACGCTGACGGATGACGTCGGTGTTGGAGGACTCGTCACGCAGCAGGCTCTGACTGCGTTCCAGGATGTCATCGATTCGAGGCTGATGTCCTTGGATCTCCTTCTGCAGAGTCTGAGAGAGAGAGAGGGCAAAGGTCAAAACTCACTACGGCACCTGTTTCATTTTCTACATACGTGACCCTCTGTGATGTCCGTGTAGCTTCAGAACCATTGTTCAGTGCGGCCCAGATGCTGCACGTAGAATAAGAAAAACCACAACTCTGGGATGTTTGTGTTCGCGTCCGTAATGACAAATCCACGAGGACCCGTGTGACCACAGTGATGTGGAAGACACACCTCTTTCTCAACGGATTTTCGTCTGTAACTCTCGCCACAGTGGTTTGAAATCACTCAACTCAGGTGACCTTGACATCAGAACACTCTGACCTCACACCTGTGACCCACAACCTGCATGTGAGGTGTCAGGGAGTTTCTCCCACCTGGTTCTTCTTGATGAGCAGCTGGACGGTCTGCAGGTTGTGTCCGTGGTCGGTGGACGTGGCGACAGGAATCCGCTCCTGAACCCACAGCTGGAAGACAAACCATCAATATCAGTCTGAACTAATAACAATGATAATAACAAAGAGCAGCTGAGGGTGTTCTCGAAGGTTTCAACAAGATGAAATCTTTTAAATAACACTTTTATATTCTTACTCATTTATCAACTGAAATTCTCTAATATTAACAAAACAATCAACTAAACGTGGGTCAGTTTTACGTACAATCTCATCCTCAACATCTCGGTTGAACTGGTGAACTTCTCTTGATTCCACCAGGAAGTTCCTGCGGCGTCTCAGCGGCTCCAGCAGCTCCTGGAACTTACTCTCCACCAGCTGCCTCCGCCCGTCCACCTCATCAGCATCCTTCACCTCCTGACCCAGAGCCTTCACCTGGCTCTGCAGCTCCACCACCTCTTTCTGACGCACCTCTACCTGGTTCTCCAACATCTGCGGGGAGGGGGCAGAGTCAGACTGGTACTACTGCTGCAGCTCCACCAGGGGGCGAGTCAGACTAAGGTTTATGCAATCCATGAAGACTTTTTAAGTGTCTCAAGTAAAAATAGTGATTCTTTATTTCTGTAGTAATCATCCACTGAAGATACGTCCACTGTACCTGCTGTTTCTTCAGCAGGATGTTGACAGAGGTCAGATCTTTGCCGTAGTCGTCAGACTGGATCTGACCCTCAAGACCAACGAGCCACTTGTCGAGGTCGGTGCAGCTTTGAGTGAACAGCTCGGCCTTGTTGGCATCAAACAGGCACTGAGCCTTGGTCTGCGTGGTTGACTCCAACTCCTCCCACATGGCGTGGAGCGCTGACAGCTTCTCCTTCACCACCGTCTCCGTCTCCGGTTTTTCTGACACCAGCATCATGCCTTCCTGCAGACAGACAAACCCAGTGGGGTTTGAATACATTCAAACGAATTGTGTGTTGTGTCAAATTTGTTCGAACTTGATTTATTGAAACACTAACGCTGGTTGATTCACATTTTACTTTCTTGAAAGAGGAACGTGTTTTTCTGTGCCAACAAGCAGAGGAGGGATGAGGAGCTGCTGAGTGGTTCATGAACTTATCGCTGACTCTGACATTTGGATGATCCCAGAGACTAAGCAAAGACCCAGAGATAAATGTGAGCCTTTCATTAAAAAAATGACTTTTAGTGACCATTTCGTTGACTGTCACAGTTGCACCAAAAGATTAAACTGTAGCCACTGCTGCCGTGTCGTGGCTGCAGGCGGAGACGATCTACTGGTCTCTTGTCCGTCAAGTACCATCCATTGACTCACCCACACAAAGAGCCCAGGTTAGAAAATACGGGAATTCCACTTTAAGTTTTAGTGGATAAAAAAATCTGATGTTTTGTTTTCCTGGGTCATTGATTCTTTCTATTGTTGGATTTAAATGAATAGATGCTGTGGATCCAGTTAACGTTTGGTTAGTGGAACCGGAAGGACGTCCCGTACCTTCTGGATCTTGTCCAGCCATTCTTTGTTGGACTGCAGTTCGGCCATGAAGGCCTGGTGCTTCAGCCACTTGCTGTGCAGGTTCCTGGCCTCGTCGTACGTCATGTCCTGCGCTGTGAGCATCTTCTCGTTGATCCACAGTGACAGCTGCACACAAACACAAGGTGTTCATTGAAACCTAAAGGGTTCATCCTCTGCTCATGTGAAGTGTTGAAATGAGACCGACCTCCTGACAGTCCTGTAGGAACTTCTGCAGGTCTCTGTTGTCCTTCAGTCTCATCAGCAGCTCCACAGCGGCCTCCCTGTTCTTCTTATGCCTGAAACACAGAAGCATCACAGGTCCTGGATTCTGATTGGCTGAAGATTTCATTATTTACACTTAAACTGGATCACATGATGTTTTTGATCTGATGCATGGAGAGCATTATGCACAAGACGTCATTTAAGAAAAGATGGACATTAAAGCATCTACAATGAAACTGTGAAAACTAAATCTGCTGAGGAAGATCAAGTGATATGGATGAAAAGCTCCAGAACTTTACAGACTTTGTGTTGTGGCTTTAATGAAGCTTCTTCTTTGAGTTGTTCCATTAAAAGTCTCTCAGCTGTAAAATGGAGCTGAAGACTACCTTTCGTCAATGGAGGCGACTCTCTCCTGGATACGTTCGCCGTTCACGTTCCCGTCACTAGCCAGGCGCCTGCCGGCCTCCACCACACCATTGATCTTGTCTTCGTTGGCGTCCATGGTGGTCATGAAGTCTTCCTGCTTCCTGATGGCGGCCTCTGCACCTTCCAGAGTAGTGGGCATCTCAGTGTGAGCCAGGACGTACTCCTGTTAAGAGAAGGAAAGCTAATGAAGTCATTCAAATCCAAAGGGTTCATCCTCTGGGGAACAGAAACTGAATCAGGACAAACAACTGATCCATAAGATGAGATCTGCATCAGGTTGTTTGACTCGGAACATACAGCTCTGCCCAGCAGCAGAGAAGCAGATGCATCATTCTGATCCTGATCTTGAGGCAGGTTTATGAGTGAATGACATAGATCTTTGAGTTTACCTGGTTGTTGAGGAAGGCCTCGGCCTGCTTCGTGTCCCTGAGGAACAGCTGGTAAGCGTGTGACTGGGACAGCAGGTTCTGCCGATTCTCCCACATTTTGTGAAGTTCGTTCCAACCGGTGTCGAGCGCCTGCAGCCTCTGTCGCAGGAACATGTACTGAGCGTCTGTCTGGCCCTGAGTCACCATCTCCCCCATGTCCCGCATCTTCTGGTAGTCCTCCTCATAGTTCTGGATCTCGTTCTTGATACCTTCATGCTGTGCCATCAGTTTCTCTGCCTCAGCCAGCGTGTTGGGCATGTCCTCTGAGGCGATGGCAGTCTGAGTGCGAGAGAGCCAGGACTGGAAATCGTCCAGCTCACGCAAGAACTGTTGCAGCTTCCGGGCCTCACCCAAAGACTCCTCACGGTTCTTCAGTGTGTTCTTCATTTCTTCCCAGACAGCATTGATCTCAGCCAGACGGCCTGTGATGGCCTTAGCCTGGTCGGGGTGCTCCTCTGCCAGCCGCTGGGCCTCACCTCGCAGGTCACCCAATTTGTCCTCAATGGCAGCCAAGTCACGCTCCATACCGGTCAGTTTTCGCTGCAGGGCCATGACACCAGTGAGATCGTTGCCCAGCTCCTGGGTGGACTCGATGACCTTGGTCTTCTCTCTGATCCAGGACTTGGTCTCATTGCAGTCGAGGTGGTAGTTCTGCACACCTAGAGCAGAGTTCAGGGACTCTTTCTTCTGGTCCACCAGGTCACGGAACTGACTCCACCTGTAGGCAGAGGAGAGGTTCATCACTGTCTAAAAACACAATCATACTTTAAGTTTCACGATGTTTACATTATAGATACATTGATTTGTTAACTATAGTTCTAGTTTTCACATTAATAGAATACCATTGGTTACTACGTGGTACACCTGTCTGTACCTGTTGTTCAGTTTGTCCTGCTGGGTCTTGATGTCCTTTTCACTTGGGTGACCATTGTGCATCAGCTGCCGGGCGATCTGGTTCACCACAGCGACACGAGACGCCTGGTTGTTCATCTCTGGCTCTAGACTCTCAAACCTGCAGAGGAGATTCCACCTGATCACAGTTCTGACTCTAGGAGACGTACCATAACACATGTACAGAACCTCTGGCCCTACCTGTGCTGTATAACCTCAAGATCTTCCAGTTTTTCAGGGATCTCCATGCTGTTCAGCCACTGCTCCTTCTCATCGATCCACACCTCACATGCATCGGCTTCACTGAACATCTTATAGAGCGCCAGGGCGTCCTGCAGAGCCTGTTTCCTCAGCTTTGTCAGCTCAGCCACCTCCTTATATCGCTCCTCAATACCGGCCAGACGACCGCGCACCTCTTCTGACTCCGCCTCCTCTTTGGGCAGGGACGAAGCCTGCTCGTGAAGTGCGTCGATGACCGGCCGGTAGCTAACTACCTCTGCTGCTGCATCCTTGTGTTTCCTGACCAGCGCCTGAGTGGAGAACTCATCATGGCCCGTCTCTCCACTGGAGACAATGCGCAAGGCATCTAGCGTCCAGGCATCAACATCATCTGCGTCAGTCTGAAACTGGTGCAGGGCCAGAGCCTCCTCCAGCCTCTTCTTCCTTGCCGCTGCCAGCTGCTCCAGTGCCGCCCACTGAGCCTGCAGGTCAGCAATACGCTCCTGAATCTTAGTGGCACCAAAGTGACCGGCCTGTACCATGACTTGGCCCTCAGCAATGGTGTGGTGGAGGTGTCCAGCGCGGCCAGTCATCTCGTCCTCCAAAGCACGCTGCTGGCTGAGGAGGCGCAGCGCCCCTGTCAGGTCCTTACCATGTTCGAGAGAAGAAAGGATCTGCTCCTTCTCACGGATCCAGCCCTCCTCCTCAGCCATTTCCCAGTAGAACTTCCAGAGGCGACGGGACTCCTCCAAGCGGGCACGACGCTCGGCAGCCAGCTGGATCAGCTCCTGGTAGCAAAACTCAAGGTGGGAAACTCGGTCCTGGATGACCTGAGGGTCGCAGGGTTTGTAGCCTAGACAGGAAAGACCATTATCATCACTTAACCAATATAGTTGCTTTAACATAATTTAAATGTTGACTCTTCTACCATCACTGCTTTGCCTCATCAAAATAAAAAAACATCCGTCATTTTATAATAATTTAAAGAAAAACTCTTTAACTCAGGGTCAAGGACAGATGTTGTTGCACACTGCTCACCATTGTCGTTACCGGAGTACTTGTTAGCGTTGGAGGTGACTGCCTTCACCCTGTCAGCCTGGATGCCGATGTCGGCCTCCACCAGGGCATGTTTTTGCAGCAAGTCTTCCACGCCCAAGAGATGCTTCCCATAATCCTGAGACAGCAGTAGCATCTGGAAAACAGACAAAACAAAGACGCACAGTTAGAAGCTCGATCAGCTTCCCACTCGAGATGATTGTTACAAAAAGGCTTAAGTTACCCTCTGGTTCCCGTCTAAACTCATCCTCCACCTGTCTCTGCACTAGATGCACAGAAATGGAAATCCACTTTCTCCCCTGATAAAAATCAGTACCTTCATTTCATCCATCCAGTCCATGATGTAGAGCATCTCCTGGAAGACTCTCTGCAGACCCAGGTTCATCTCCAGACGGAGTCTACGGGCCTTCAGCAGCTCCAGCAGATACTCCCACAGCCGGATCACATTGTCCTTCCTGGCAGTGATACGTTTGATGTCGTGGTAGTGCTCCGCCTCCAGCTCCTTCGCCACAGCAACCACAGCCTGGACACGCTCCTCATATGCTGAAATGTCTGTCTCAATTGCCTCATGCTTCTTGGTGGCCGCCTCAACAGCCTGAAGGTCAAATCCGAAGTTGTCCTAGAGAGAGGAGGAGACATTGTCATCAAATGGCCCAAAAATGATTTGATAAGAGATGAAAGTCTGGGCGTCGTTACAGAATTCCAAGCAGTTTGACTTCAGTTGCAGTTGATGACCACCTGGCGGCTGCTGTGTGTCCTCTTACCTGTGACACCAGTCTCTGGTTCTCACTGAGCCAGGTCTCTCTCATGGCCGCTTTGCGGTCGAAACGTCGGGCCAGTTGTTCCAGTTTCTCCTGACGAATCAGCTCTGTCCTCAGAGCCAGCTCCCTCTCGTGCTCCGCCTTTTCCAGTCGCTCCCAGGCCTGACGAGCACAGACACACATCAGAAGGCTTCTTTATAAAGTTATTAATCAACTGTAACGTAACTTCAAGAACCAAAACTCCAAGTCAACTCCAGTCGGCTGGTGAATAAAGACAGTTGGTTAGAGGTTCATGTGTCTCGGAGCAACTCTGACCTTGTTGATGTCAGAGATGAGTTTTCCCTCTCGGGGCATGTAGACCTTCTGGTTGTTGGCTCTCATCTTACTCTGGATGGTGAACAGAAGAACTTCCAGGTTTCCTTTCTCTGTGAACCTGAGGAAATGAGAGACACCACGGTCGATAAGGATGGAGACAGTGAGGAGGTGGAGTTGCAGGATGTACTGGACATTTTCATGACAATATTAAAATGTTGGATTTGAACAGGATCATGCAAACAACAACTCCCGCAGGAAGTCCGCCAGGTAACTGCAGCAGTGATGGGTTCGACTGGGTGGACTAGACAGAGGACTATGGCAGAGGAGGTGAAGAGGACAGGGGTCAGAGGCCAAGTGAGGTTAAAGGTTCTAACTTTGGAGGTTTCTCTACGGTGCGGTAGGTGTTGAAGGCCTGGAGCTGCTGCTGGACCCCGACCAGAGAGTTGGCGAACTTCCTGTTGTTGAGGATGATGATGGTCTGTTCGATCCACTCCAGCAGGTCCGACGCCAGAGACTCGTACTTCTCGATCATCTTCTCCGTTTCGATGGCGTTGTCCAGGACCTGGAGAAAAATAGAAAACAGACACCTGCTGTCAAACATCAGCAGGAACATGTGAGACGACGTAGACAGCTTCTGTTTGTGCCCCCCCCCCCCCCC